TTTGCCCCGCTCACTACAAAGAGGAAAGAGAAAACCCAACAAGCACCTTCTGTTGCTTTTATTTTTATTCATTTATTTATTTATATATTTATCTATCCATCCTCACCCAAGGATATTTTTCTTTATTTTTTAAATTTTGTTTTATTGCTGAAAGTATTACAAAGAGTAGTACATATGTCTCCTTTTTTTTACCCCCTTGACCTTCCCCTGGCCTCCCCTACCCCCCAGTGTCTTGTGTCCATTGGTTATGCTTATATGCATGCATACAAGTCCTTCGGTTGATCTCTTACCCCCGCCCCCCTCACCCTCCCCGGCCTTCCAGCTGTAGTTTGACAGTCTGTTCGATGCTGCTCTGCCTCTGTATCTATTTTTGTTCTTCAGTTTATAATGGTCTTTATTATCCATGAATGAGTGAGATCATGTGGTATTTTTCTTTCATTGACTGCTTATTTCACTTAGCATACTCGACGAGGGCCAGGGAACCTGCAACCAAGGCATGTGCCCTTGACTGGAATCGGACCCAGGATTCTCCAGTCCTGGGGCTGACGCTCTATCCACTGAGCCAAACCGGCCAGGGCACCTTCTGCTGCTTTTAAAGAAACATTTCTCTGAAGTTGAGTTCCACTCAGTGCTTCTTCAAGGCAGAGTCAAAAGGCCCAGGCTGTTTCTGGGCCAGCCCCGCACTGGTGGGTCCTGCCGGACACAGGTTCAGGCAGCGGCTCTGATGGGCGACACCCGGTCTTAAGGACGTCGGAGGCTCCTCAGAGTTCTGGGTCAGCTATTGTCCCAGGGCTGCCTTTTGCCTCCCCGCCCCCCCCCTGCCCCCCAGAACAGAAGCAGTTTTCTAACTGACGCCTGGATCTCACCCTCTGGCCGGTCCTTCTGCGACACTGTGACGAGCTAGAGTAAGTTCAGCAACTGAGGCAGGAGACAGAGGGTGTGGACTAAGGCAGAGTGGAGGGCGGGCGGGAGGAGTGGGATCTGAGGTTCCAAGGATGAGTTGGGAGGACTTAGACCTGGGTGTGTAGGAGAAGTCTCCCAGCGTGTAGCCAGGCAAGGCAGAGGGAGACTGTGGGGATGGGAGGAGCAGGTGGGCAGGGGAGATGCCCTGTGGGGTCTTCAGAGGCGGAGGGCAGGGGCGGGAAGGCAGGTGGGCAGGGGAGATGCCCTGTGGGGTCTTCAGAGGCGGAGGGCAGGGGTGGGAAGGCAGGTGGGCAGGGGAGATGCCCTGTGGGGTCTTCAGAGGCAGAGGGCAGGGGCGGGAAGGTAGGTGGGAAGGGGAGATGCCCTATGGGGTCTTCAGAGGCGGAGGGCAGGGGCGGGAAGGCAGGCACAGCGAGCCCTCGGTGCTGTGGAGATAAATGCCTGAGACAAGGGCACGACTGTTTGGTTTAGAAAATACTTTGCTTAGTGACCTCATCTCCTAGAGCTTGAACACTGTCCACTGTAAACCAAGTTGGAAAATATTACTCCGGAAACGGCCACTCCGCAGCTGCTCGGACCGAGCAGTGCCAGCAAGTCCGCAGAGTGTCCTCACGGCGCCGGGGCCGGTGGGGCTGGGGCCCATCAGGCGTCTGCGGACAGACAGACATGCAGACCCATGAAGATTCGGGAAGTTCCCCATGGCCCTTGCGTATGCATCCAAGGTTACCGCTTCTAAGAAGCCACTGGAGCCTCCTGGCTCTGTCCCCAGCTGAGGGGACAGCTGGCCTTGCTCTCCCCGGGCTGTGGGTGGACTCAGCAGTACTAGGTGTGGGTTTCTGTCTAACACCTGGGTCTTTCCTGGTAGATGGGGGGTTTGAGAATAGGAAGTATCAAATCTCAACTTTGTTACTTTACTGATGATGATGATGATGATGATGATGATGATGTGAGGTGCTGGTGTAAGAATAGAGAGAAAGATAAACAGAATAGAAGCAGTTTCCTGCTGAAACCGGTTTGGCTCAGTGGATAGAGCGTCAGCCTGCTGATCGATGTTTCTCTCTCATCGATGTTTCTAACTCTCTATCTCTCTCCCTTCCTCTCTGTAAAAAATCAATAAAATATATATTTAAAAAAAAATCTCAATTTTGTTACTTTACTGATGATGATGATGATGATGATGGCGGCATTAAAGGTTGTGGGCTCGATTCCCAGTCAGGGCACATACAAGAATCAACCAATGAATGCATAAAGTGCAACCACACATCGATGGTAGGAGAATGGTTGAATCATTGTGTTACATACATTAAATGTTATACAACATTAAAATCAACAAAGTAGATCTATGTATATTGACACAACTGTCTTTTTGTTGTTGTTAAGTTTATTGATTTTAGAGAGAGAGAGGGAGAGAGAAACATTGATTTGTTCTACTTACTTATGCATTCATTGGTTGATTCTTGTATGTGCCCTGACCTGGGATCGAACCCATAACCTTGGTGTATGGGATGATGCTCTAACCTACTGAGCGACCCGGCCAGGGCTGTGATACATTGTTAAGTGACAAAAGCGTGTTGTGGAAAAGTCTGTGTAATAGGAACACATTTACCTAAAATAATAATTGTAAAGAAAAAAATTTTTTGCAAAGATCACACCTGATTCTGAGCTCTGGCTCCCTGTGGGCAGCAGGTGGAAGAGGCGTGTGTAGGTGGGACCAACTCTTATGTGTTACTGTGTTATTTCATTTTGACAAAATCAACAGGAGTCCATTTGAAATAGTTGAAGCAGCGAATAAAAGGTGCTAGGGCAGCGTTATGTCCAGAGTCCCATGGGGACCCAAGAACCCCGATTGGAGGTGGGAGACGGTCAGAGAGGGCTCTGGAGGAGGGACCGGCCTGGCGAGTTCAGGGTGTACCTGGTCAGCACGTGGAGGGGCCCAGAGAGGCTGAGAGCATTCTGCTGGGGGCATCCCCCAGGCTCTCCGGTGGCGGTGGTGGCAGGGGAGCTGGCCACCTCCCGGCTTTCACAGCCCACCCTCCCCCTATCTGTACTGCTGCGGGCTCAGCTCAGATGTCCTGTTTCTCACCTGGACGATGGCGAACACCCCTAGCACGTCTCCTGGTGCCTTGTCTGCACCCCACGTCCTCCTGCCTGAGTGCCTGCCCTTCACTTTGCTGAGTGATCTTCTCAGAATGCAGCTTGGACCCTGCCGTCTTCCTTCTTAGCCGTTTCCCGAGATCCTTCCCAGGTTCCGGGGTCTCACCCCCTTTCTGGAGCCAGGAGCAGCCCTGCCCACCTCCCCTCCTGCCTCCCACACTGACTCCTATTCATGTTCCCTGGAATCTTTGTCACTTCTTTACAGATGCCACCATTTTAACAAACAGGGTGTAGACGGAGGTAAAGAAAGAGCGTTGTGATGTGGGTTTAGTAGTTGGTTGTTGGGCTGTTATTACCGTGAACATGTTCTGACTAATTACCCCCTTTTCGGGAGTTAATGACCACAGTTTCCTCTTATTCCGAGGCAGCCTTTTAGAAGTGAATACATTTCAGGGAAAACAGCACCGTCTTTCCTGCCTTTGGCGCTGTTTTGTTCCGTTAATATTCGTCAATATTCTGGAGTCGGCGTTTCCAGCGGCAGGGACCTGAGGGTCTGGTACTTGTTTGTACAGGGGTCACTCTGCCTTCACAGCAGACACGCTGTTCTGCAAACACGACTAGGACTGAACTGTCTCTG